ATATTAGTTGGCCAATTAGTTTCTTTCTATTTATAGTAGAGACGGGGTCTTGCTCTTGCTCAGACTGGTTTCGAACTCCCGACCTCGAGCGATCCGCCCGCCTCGGCCTCCCAGAGAGCTAGGATTACAGGCGTGAGCCACCGCGCCCGGCCCTAACTTTAATTCTTAAACTAGGAAAATACATGTCAGCCCCCTACACTGTAGACTGTCAGATCAGATTATAAAACATGCAAATGTGTGGTCAATCTCCCGTTAAGCATCAACAGGAAACGAGTTCTTATCAGATGCTTTTCTTAGGCCAGTGCACCACGTCTTGCTCCCGAGACTCGTGGCTGGGGGACGTCCCTGCGATTCGGGATTATCTGCGAGGGGAGCAGGAGAGTGGGGCTGGGAGAGGAAGCTGCAGAGGGTTTCACAGTTATCACTTGGGGGTTGCTGAAGCCAGATGGTCACTCTGCGACCTCACTCCTCTAACTCCCGCTGGGCAGCAGAGGATGTGGTCGCGTAGGTGGAAAAGATGCATTAATGCAGTCCTCAAACTACGGCCCGCGGGCCACATGCGGCCCACCGAGGACATTTATCCAGCCCGCCAGGTGTTTTTGCCGCTGCTGCCTGTCCTGCTTAGCAGCTGGCTCGTCCCGGGCCCGCAGTGTGCACGTGTGGACTGTGCCGCACTCTCCACGGCCCTCCAACGGCCTGAGGGACAGTGACCTGGCCCCGTTTAAAAAGTTTGAGGCCCCCTGCATTAATGGCTCCTCCCCTATTCTTACCTACACAGAAAAGGAAGTCATGGGAGGAGAGGCAGGGTGGACAGTGGGTTGCACTCTGGAAACTCTAAAAAACAAACAGAAGTGGGGAGGACGAGGCAAAGGAACTGCCGACTGAGGATTGCTCCAGCGGAAGTTAGGAGCTCTTCTGGGTTCCTGTAGAGACGGGTCTGGAGTCAAAGCTTTCAGAACAGGCTACTGTTTCCTCCCCGCTGTTCCCCTGATGTTGCAACTTCTCCTCTTCTTGTGTTTGGTGGCAGACTGTTTGCTTCATGCCACCTTAGAGTGCGATGCGGCCCTGCCCTCCTCCCTAAGTCCTACGGCACTTCAGGCCTGTGGGCGGCAGAGAGGCACTGGGCACCGGGCAGCTGAGCAGAATCTTGTTAAAGGAAGCTGAGGTCAGAGGCACGGGTGGGAGGGTCCCGGCACTGGGGGGGACACTGCGGAAGGTCCCCAAGCAGAAGGGGTTTCCCGTGAGTTTACACACACCCGGAGCGCCGGGCCGTGCCCAGCTTCCCAGAAGGCAGGCTTGGCCTCCTTCCAGCCCCGTCAGGCTTAACTCTGTTCTTTAGATGGTAGCCCTTTAAAAAGAAAAAATTTGGCTACAAGTGAGGCCTATTTTATTTTTATTTATTAATTTTAATGAAGGAATGAATGACAGAGTCTCACTCTGTTGCCCTGGCTGGAGGACAGTGGTGTTGTCATCAGATCTCACTGCAGCCTCAAACTCCTGAGCTCAAGCGATCCTCCTGCCTCAGCCTCCTGAGTAGCTGGGACTACAAGTGTGTGCCACGATGCCAAGCTAGTGTTTTAATTTTTTTTTTATGGTTTTTTTTTTTTTTTCTATCATGAGTTGTAGCAAGTATAGTGTTTTAATTTTTTGTAGAGATGGGGTCTTGCTATGTTGCCCAGGCTGGCCTTGAACTCCTGGCTTCAAGTGTTCCTCCAGCCTCGGCCTCCCAAAGCACTGGGATTACAGGTGTGAGCCACTGCACCTGGCCCCAGAGGCCTATTATAAATTAGATATGGTTATAAAATTTAAAGTAAGTATGAGTACAGGGATTAATTTTTGTCAGTAATCTGAAGGTACAGCCAGAGTTTCTTCCATTTGGGATTCTTGGGAATCAATAAATGACAAATAAATACTGTAATAGTTAAGTGAAATCTCTCAATTATATTTCTTAATAGATTACATTTTTTTTTTGAAAGAGCTATTATTACACTTAAAGTATATGTACTCAAAGCCTGGGTTGAGGCTTAAGAATTTTTTAAGATAAAACCTAATAAAGATCTTTATATAACTTAAAATATCTAAAATCTGAAACTAAGAGGCTTCGAAGTATGACAGGATTAGGATTTACATTTTCTTGATTAAAGATTAAAAAAAATTAAAGATTAAAAAAAATAGCTAACACCTAATCCTGAAACAGAAAATTGTCTGTGTATATGCCCTTTTAAGTGACCAACACTACCTAAACTTTATGAAGTTCTACACACCCGTGAATGTGGTTTTAACCCTAAATGACTAAGCAGATAAAAATACCATTGCACACATGCCTGCCAGCAAAACTGATCTCTGGGCAGTGGACAGGTCCCATGAATAAATATACTCTGAGGTTGCGGGTGAAGGTGAAGGCCAAGTTGTTTTTCAGTGGTAGTGGGTTTATAATCCAAGTCACTTTCCGCCTGGGCCCTGACTTTGATTCTGTAGACACCCCACTTGCTCTGTTTGAGCCACTTGTGAGAAGCAGTCGTAGCTCACAGTGTCGCCGTGAGCCTCTGGTTTGCTCAGCAGTGGGAGGCTCTGCTTTTCTCTGGATGAGTGTGGCAACACCAGCCAGTCGGAAAGCCAGGGACTCGAGGGAGCAAAGGCCAGGACTGCAGGCACCACCAGTACCTGCTTGGCTTAGGTTTTATCTTAAAACTTAAGTATATAAAATGAATTGTCCCCATATTAAGTTCCTATCTAGAGTTACAAATAGCAGACAGATGTATATTGTCCATTTTCAAGGTGTTGTTAGATAAGAATCTCTGCGGCCACAGCTAAAAAGATCGATTTCATAAGTTTCGTTATTAAGGAAAAACTCATAGCACTACAGCTTTATTATTGACTTAGTAATATTATCAACAAAAGCTAGTATTATGAGCCACTGCTGGCATTCCCACTGTAGAGATGAAGAGGTCTGGGACAGGGAGAGGAAGTACTATGGTGGGGAACTACACACAAAGCTTGCTCTGCAGAGGTGCCGTCTTAGTTTGGGGGGAATAAAGCAAGAGATTGTGTGCTCTGTATTGGGTGTAACTGAGTGGGCTTCAAACTATGAGCAAGCACGCTGTGTGTTCCATTTGGGGGTTGTTTTTGAATTCTTTCAGTTGGGAATCCTGCAAGGGGAAGAGGGGAGTATAGTTTGGGCTATAAGATACCACAATTCCATAACCTCTAAAAGTTTCAATTGTCACAAAATCCCGGGAAGCAGGCATTCTTAAACTTGTCACATTGATGAGAAAATAGCCCCAACGAGTTTAAGTAGCTTGGCTATGGTCACATAGCCAGTATGTAACGGAATCAGGATACATCTACAAATCAGCCGGTATTTTATTTATATATATATACTATACTATATATTTCTACTGTATCACACTTTAAACACGTTGACTGCCACGTGAGTTGTATTCAACTCAGGCTAGTTTTGAGCCTGGGGCCTCCTGAAGCAAAACCCTGCAGTTGGTTCATGAAAATCTCACTCGCAGATGGTCATATTGCTACAATTACCACTGACAATTTAATTCTAAAAACGTGGATTGCGTTGCATATAACGCACACACAAAAAATTAATTAGAAAGGATCATTTTAATAAAATACCGTGGTCCCAGGGAAAAACTTTTTTCCTAGTGTGGCAGTCAATGTGTTAAAGTACAGTTATCACAGCATTTCAGACATGCCTATAAAACACGGACTTACGAAGGCACATGGCTTATGTTTATGTATGTATATAAAGTTAGAGATCACACCTGTGCAAAAAGGCCTCAATTTTCTTGGTTATAGCTCTGAAGACTCATCCCAAATATCATTAAGTGCTTCTTAATAGACACTTGTGTAATTCAAATGTTATGGCTCTCTGGAGTTAAGTGGCTTTTCAGCTCACTGATTCTAGCAACAGCTGAATACAGAGGGTAATGCTCACCTAAGTAAATGTCTTAACATCTAGACATCTTCATCCTGTTATGTTCAGCAGAATTAGATAATAAGCCTCCTAATGATACCAAAGAGCATTTCCCTCTGAAGTCTCCGCATGCAGGGTTCCTGAGAACATTTCACAGCAATGCTTGTGTGTGAAAGCCGCATTCTGTTCCATCCAATAAATCATTTTAGACGGAAAAATTTTGTTCCGCATCCCCATTCTGATCAGATAGGATGCTCAAAGCGTGTTTTATTAAGGAAAACACTAGATCATGGGCCAGTGTTTGATCTTTTGCTTTGAGCATGAGGTTGCAGTCTGGCTGGGTAGGTGGTGAGATTCCAAGCTGCTAATGGGGCTGTGGGGGAGGAGGAACATTCTAGTGCATTTCACTGAGGCATCTTCTGTGCTTGAATTCCTGGCTTTTTTGCTTTTCATCTATGCTCTAGTCCTGGCTCCAGATGACAGTTAAAGCTTTGTTGTGCTGTCCCTCCCATTCTCACCCTTGGAGTGTACTCTTAGTGGGTGGCAAACTAATTTAATGGTGGCTTCTTGAACCAAGATTAAGCAGTGGGAGGAGAGGGACAGTACAGTCCCACCCACTACCACAGCACAGCAGTGCACGACTTAATTTAGTGGGCCCCTGTCACTAAGGCACAGCCTTTTGGTCTTTCTGTAGAACAACCGGTAGTTTGAATTGCACTTTAATGGGCATTCCTAGCACATCAGCAAACTGATGGCTAGTAGCTGACCCAGACGGTGATATCTCCCAAATCTATAATTTTAGGGTGTTTTCATTCTGAAGTTTTATGTGCAGTGCTTTCCAACAGGGACAGATCCTATTATTAATATTAATTTTTTTTTTCTTCTGAAGTCAAACTATCCAAATCTCAAATTCTCTATCTGGAAATTAGTTCAGGCAGGCAGTCTGGAAACTTCATGGATGTAGGAATTTGTTCATTCATTTAACAAATACTTATTGAACACCAACAATGAGCAAGCCCTGTCTTGGAAATATAGGTAAAATATACAAACAAACCAAATAATGCCATTATAGTTTGATATACTATTTATTAAGTTATTAATATGGACAGTCTGTTAAGCAACATTACAGATGTCTTTCAAAACCTATAATAAAATATAGTCCACTATCCAGCCCAGGAGAAAGACAATATACAAGATCATTCTTACAGTGAGTGTGGCATAAGCATTCATAATAGTTCCTTATTCGGACATCAAAGGGGACATCAGGCAAAAGATTCTTCACCTCCACTAGGGTTTTAACTTTCTTGAATTAGCTGTTTTAGAGTCACAAGTCCACTGAGGTCACTCACAGAGACGTGTGGCACCCACGCTGCAGAGCAAGGAGCCCCTGCCCGCGCCGTGGCAGCCCTCCTTACTGTCCCGCAGTCCTTCTGTGTGGGAGCCCGTCTTGCCTGTTAGACCAGTAGTGGTCAAACTCGGGCAGGGGGAGAAGGCAGGTGGGTCACAGGGATGCCTTGTTTAATTTACAAAGATTGTGTTTCAGAGCTCTAAAAACCCATTTGGTGGTGGTAGTGGCAGTGAAGAGCACACTCACTCTGTTTCGCCAAGGGGGTCTTCTCTTGAGTCTTGGCTTACTGGCAGCCTTTAAGATTCCTGCAGTTCCCAGGGGGAAGCGGAGGAGGGGACTCTAACAGTGATTGGTGTGAGGCCCTCTGCAGAATAAACTGGACTGGCTGCTATGGCTTTTATAACCTGCCTTCCTCTTCGGTCTAGACAAGCTTATTTCTTCATCTTTCCTCCTATGTCCTGCTAGTTCTAATGTAAGGTTTAAAAGGTCTATGAAAGATGAAACTTCTAGCTTTCTAGCTGAATGATGAAAAACAGCAAAAAAAAAAATCCATTCTCCAATGAGCTATATACTCAATTTCCTCAGCTGAAAACAAGTGCCAAGTGACTTTTAAAGACAAGTGCTGGACAATGCTGATTAGCTGATGGAAGAAGTGCTGAGGTGAGACTGCACAGATATCAGAATCTGAAATACAGGCAAAACTCAAAATGCTCTAGTGTCACGGGGATTCTTCAACCCCTTAGTGGCACACTGAAATCTACAAATGTTTTCAACATCAGGCTGTTGATGGCAGCCAATTAAATATGGACTCAGAAATCTCAAAGCCTTGCCAAGTTTGTGGCACTTAATAGTCCACATAGTTAGGAAAAAGGAGGAACCATTGGGTAAAGAATGAGAGCAATGGAATTTTATTTAACTCTAGGTACCATGGTTCCGACATTAGTCAGACTAATGAATGAGCAGCCATACGGGTATTTTTGGTCACCGCGCTTCCCAAGCACCAAAATAATGGAGCTACTTTTACTATTCAATTTCATCTTTAATAAGCTAGACAGGTCCTGCAGTGTTCTTTGTCTCTAAATGACCAGTACACCATCACGTGGTTTACTGCATGTGAGGAGCAAGTCATCATGTGGTACCAAGTTTATATCGTCAGAGGACTACAACATGCACATTCTACTTAACGCAGCTCAAGCAACAGGAATACAAGAGAACAGTTATGGGTGGAGACTTGTTTTTGGTGAAGTCATGTTCGCACTAACTATGGGTTAGAGACCTTACTAGGCGGGTACCTACAGAAGTTCTTCGATTGGCGCTGGAGCGTCACATGCATGCACAAGTGATATGGTGGAGATGAGGCAGCGGATGGAGGACGGGGCGACCGGAGACGGGGCGGCGCGCGTATCCAGGAGGGCAGTCCTCAGCTTTCCACCGTCAGTCTCTGCTCTGTGAGACAGGCCTGCTGGGCGACGCTTTTGTTCTCGTGATGGCGAAGTTTGGATACGACGTCCAGAAAGGCCAAATCCTGCACTTCCTTGTGTAGAGATTCTGGAAGTCAAAAACAAGACAACAGATGTGCTTCTGTTAGGTTCTAATCTTACTATGCAATCCATTCAAATGTTTACTTTGATAAGACCCAGTTACAATTCTGGGGAAAGACAGCAGTAGCTGAGCAACGTCTTTTTCAGGGATGTATTATAATCATCATATAAAATCAGGAAAGTTTTACTTGACACATTTTTAAAAAGAGGAACCAGAGGTCAAGTTCTACAGTAAAAGGTTGATTAGGGTAATGAGTCAGAATTAAACACAGCTTATATGACCTCAAGGTTCAGTTACAAATGTAACCCTATCATCAGTTCAGATATAAAGTCTGGTGAAAAACCTTATGATTTGTTTCAAATAATTTTGTGGCAAATGAAAAGTTAGTACTTCACATCCTCTCTCAAATTTCTGTGATGATGGGCTCCCTTTTAGATTTCCCATCCTTTTCCTTTTGGCTTTCTTTCTCCATTTGACCTCAAGTACAGGAGAGTATAGGACTCCTGTTAAGATTCTGAGAACTCCTCTATGGGAAGAGCAAGGTCTAATAAGTTTAATCAGCACTCCCCAAAATGATGTGTTTACTTTGATAAGACTAACATAAAACTAGAACTTATTTTGTAGAAATAAATAGAAAAATCCATCTTAAAATTCATACAGAATCTCAAGAGACCCCTACTCTCCCAATCTTGAAAAAGAACAACACTGGAGGTCTCATACTTCCCGATTTTAAAACTTACTACAAAGCTACAGTATGTGGTTCTGGCATAAAGAACTAAAACTCACCAACAAAATAAACTTCATTTAAAAAAATGGCAAAAGACTTGAATAGACATTTCTTCAATGAAGATATAGGATACAAACCACCAACAAGCACATGAAAAGATCCCAACATCCCTAATCATTAGGAAATGCAAATCAAAACCATAAGGTACGACTCCACACTCATTAGGGTGACTATTATAAACACACACACACACACACACAAATAACAAGTATTTGTGAGGGTATTTCGAAACTGCAACCTGTGTACACTGCTAGCAGAAATGTACAATGGTCCATTCACTGTGGAAAACAGAATGGTAGTTACTCAAAAAATCCAACAACCATATGATCCAGCAATTCCACTTCTGGATATATATCCCAAAAGAACAAAAGCAGGGACTTGAAAAGATATTTGTACACCAATGTTCACAGCAGTATTATTCTCAAAAGCCACAAGGTGGAACTAACCCAAATGTCCATCACTGATGAACAGATAAAATGTGATACAGACAATGAAACACTGATGAACCTGACATGCTACGACACAGACGAGCCTTAAAGATGTTATTCCAAGTGAAATAAGGTAGACACAAAAGGACAAATAGTTTGCTGTTTGACATGTATGAGGTGGCTAGAGAGTCACATTCACAGACACGGAAAACAGAATGGTGGTTGGTTGGGAAAGGGGTGAATGGGGAGTTAGTGTTTAATGGGTACAGAGCTTCAGTTTGGGAAAACAAAAACTGTTCTGGAATGTACAGCAATATGAATGTACTTAATGCCACTAAACTGTACACTTGGTTAAAATAGTAAATTTTATGTATTTTACCACAATTTAAATAATGCCTCAAGAAACAATTATGAACATGCTTGAAAATGAAAGCAAGTCTCAGCAAGGAAATAGAAGTTATAATGAGGAAGCAAATGAAAAACGCTGAACTGAAAAATACAATAACTGAAATAAAACTCGATAGGCTCAGTATCAGAATGGAGGGGACAGAGGAAATAAGAGAACTGTAAGATAGAACAACAGAAATTATTCAATCTGAATAACAGAAAATAAACTAAAAAAATAACCAACTCTCAGGGACCCATAAGACTATAAAGATCTCACATTTTTGTCATTAGAAGACTAGAAGAAAGGACAGGCAGGGGCTGAAAACTGAAGAAATAATGGTTAAAACCTTTCATGTTTAGCAAAAGATGTAAACCTATAGATTCAAGAAGCTGAGCAAACTCAAAACAGGAGAAACCCAAAGAAATCCATGCCAAGACATATCACAGTCAAACTCCTGAAGACTAAAGACAAAAAAATTTTGAGAGAGAGAAATGACACCTTACCTCCAGGGGAAAAAGCAAATGGGAACACAGTGGATCTCCCATCAGCAACCATGGAGGACAGAAGAAAACAGCACATTTTTTCAAGTGCAAAAAGAAAAAAAGCCATGAACCAAGAATCCTACACTCAGAGAAAACATTCTTCAGGAATGAAGGGGAAATCAAGACATTCTCAAATGAGAAAAAAACTAAAACAATTTGTTACTAGCAGACCTAACCTAAAAGAATTTCTCTAAACAGAAAGAAAGTGATTTAAAAAAAGAAAGGAACAAAAAATGTGGGTAGGATTACACAGGCAAGATGGCAGACGAGAAACACCTCTAGCCAGAGTGTCTCCGCAAGAAGGAAAGATTTCAGATGAAAGTGAAAAATCAGACAAACAGGCAGACAAACATAGATAGGATGAGGGCTGGAAGGAAGGGTGCCTGAACCTAAAAGAGACTCCACGGGAAGAGGCAGCAGAGCAGAGCTGGAAGGAGAAAGACGTCGCAGGGTCTAAACCCCAAGAGGCATGGAGACCAGCGACAAGAGCGGGTGGAGCAGTTAAATTTCCTCTCCCTTGCACCTGGGACTGCTGGTGGCCCCTGAGCTGCTGGAGAGACCTGCCGACACCAGCCCAGAGACGGCTGCTGCCAGTGAGCCGAGAGCCTCTTGCCGACAGGCACCGGCTCCCTCGGGATACCACACCTCCGCCTTACAGACCCGAGCCGACTGGCAGGCGCCATATGGCTTCATTCTCCCCTCCCCACGGCTGCCGAGAGAGACACGTTAGCCACCCCCCGAAAGCATCCGCAAGGAACAGGACCTTTCCTTTTGGGGCCCTGCAGTGGACTGAGGGGTGCTCAGACTGTGAGCTCCCTACCCCTCAGCCCCCCAAGGTGCTGCTGGCCTGGTGACCCCAGCAGAGTGGGGCAAATCCTGAGACCGACAGTGATCCAGCTTGGGCACCCCTTGGGTGACTTGAGACCAGCATTTTTCTCCCTGGCAGGGTCAGGAATTGATCTCCAGGGCCCAGGGGACAGGCCTGCTGGCCAGATTCTGTACACCCAGGTCTCCATCGCATTACCAGGGACAGACAGGGGCATCGCATAATGATAAAAGATTCAATTCACCAAAAAGGCATAGCAATCCTAAAGGTGTATGTACCTAACAACAGAGCTGATAATTACATGAAGCAAAAATTGATAGAACTGCAAGGACAAACCCACGATTTAGCTGAAGACTTCAGCATCCCTCTTTTATCTGTTGCTGAAAACAATTAGAAAACCAGTAGGGATATAGGAAGATCAACACCACTACCAACCAACAGGATTTAATCAACATTAAATCCTCCACCCCAAACTGCAGAACACACATTCCTTTCAAGTGTTCATGGAACACATACCAAGATATGCCAACAATTTCTTTTCTTTTTGAGATACAGTCTCACTCTGTCACCTTGCCTAGAGTGCAGTGGCGTCGTCATAGCTCACAGCAACCTCAAACTCCTGGGCTCAAGAGATCCTCCTGCCTCAGCCTCCCGAGTAGCTGGGACTACAGGTGTGCACCATCACGCCTGGCTAATTTTTTTGGTAGAGACAGGGTCTGGGTCTTGCAGTCCTGAGCTCAAGCAATGCTACCGCTTCAGCCTCCCGGAGTGCTAGCATTACATGCGTGAGCCAACAACTTCTTGAACAAATTCCTTAGCTAGTATCAGGACATACACAATCAGAACTTGTTCTTTATATAAAATAAGATTTTAGGGCTAATGAAACTTATGCTTAGTAATTTTTTAACACTGGTTTTTGTCTACATTTGCCATATGATGATTTCTCTTAGAGTAAGGATTACTTTTATATTGAAATTTCCAAAGATTCTATCAAATAGTAGGATGACTATAGCAAATAATGTAGTATATATTTCAAGATGGCTAAAAGAAAAAATTTTATATGTTATCACTACAAAGAAATAATAAATGTTTAAACTGATGGGAAAAAAAGTAATCCTATATCATCCATAAAATAATTTCTAATGCTTTTAAAACGCAAAGCAATCACTAACGATTCTGTATTTAATGTTTAATGTCAGCCACATGTTGACAGACATCAAATGATAGGAGAAATACTTACCAGACCCCATGACAGCACAGATCAGGACCATGGAATTATATTTGATTTCAGGAGCACTTCTCTCATCTGCTAGCAGTCTGTGTAAAATCTGTACCAGTTTAGCACTTTCTAGATCCTTCTCAGCAGTGCCTAGAAAATGAAACAAAGTACAGGTTGGGATCCATTGTGTATGAACCTAGTATCCTCAGGCTAAACACTGTTTCTTCTTCTAGAAACTGACCATGTGAAACCTTCCAAAAGGGACTGATAAATAATGACCTAGATAAATAATATTCTCTTTCTAGCACTCTAGAAAAGGCTGAGGTGGAAGGATTGCTCAAGGTCAGGAGTTTGAAACCAGCCTGAGCAAGAGCGAGACCCCCATCTCTACTAAAAATAGAAATTGGCCCACTAAATATATATATATATAAAATTAGCTGGGCATGGTGGCACATGCCTGTAATCCCAGCTACTCAGGAGGTTGAGGCAGAAGGATCACTTGAGCCCAGGAGTTTGAGGCTCCTGTGAGAGAGGCTGACGCCATGGCACTCTAGCCCGGGCAACACAGTGAGACTCTGTCTCAAAACAAAAAGAAATCTCGCCCCATTTTGAGAATTACAAATATAAATCATCAGTATGAATTAAGAGGTAATCAGTTAACAGTATTTACCCAAATGGCCTTGAACTGGATGGGACCACCAAGTCTAAAACCCTAATTAGTACAAAGCAGCCTTAGGCCTTAACCACAGATCACGTGAATCTGACACACTGTCCCCAGCTGACTGTATCAGGGGTTGGTCCCCAGAGCCAAAAGTTGCTACACAAAACATAGGTGCCTAGGAGCTACCTTTTCAAGCAGAATTCTGCCCATTATGGATGCTGTATGTTAGAAACTAAAGGAATCACTTAGACTTTGCTTTTGGGGAGTTCTGAATGCAAAAATACACAGAAGATGAGACTTTAGAGTGAAGGCAAAGCTACAAAGGAACATAGAGAAGATGGCCATAGAGAAGATCAGCAAGAGCAAATTGGTAATAGAATCAGCAGAGATGTAAGACAAAGTCCAGTTACTGGAAGAGTAGCACACTCTTCACTTGCTGTGGTATTGTAAATATTGTTTTCTTTCTCTGGGAAGCCTGCTCAAAATGCTTTCTATATTTTCTAAGTGGCCATAACTTGAAATAAACTTAACCTTAAAGCATTGTCCTAAAAATGTTACCAAAAGCACAACCAAAGGAGACAGCCATGGTAACAACCTATATAATTCTCCATATATTCAGATACAGGCGTGGACACACACAGGCAAAATGCTTCCAGTCAAAGTTCTGTCTGACTTCAATTCCACTCCTGAGCTTCCTTTCATCTGAGATAAAAATAGGAGAAAATAAGTTTGCCACAGGGGTACTTACCCAATTCTAAAGCTGCTATTAATGCCAAAGCAACAAGGGCTTCATTCTGCATTATTACATGTTCACTAGTTGCCATAGTAACTAGATGCTTGATGCCACCACTCTGTACAATGGTTTTAATTACATCCTACAATAAATAAATATCACAGAATTATAAACTAATTTTGAACATAAAGAAAATGCATTATAATCAGTCAATTCATTGTTGAGTGGTTTTGTGACCAGTGTCCTGTATGAATCTTCATTTAACCTTATTTTTTTTCTTCACAGAAGAAAAGGAAAAAGCTTTTAGCTTTAAATAAATTCATCAAAACATGACAACTTAAATTGCCTAAGTGGAAAAGACCATTGCAATTGCAGTTCGCAATGAAGGAACAGAGAGGTCTAGAAGCTACCAAAGGCAAAGAAATGAAAGTGCCACTTCCCTGAATGTTGACCTACCTCAGGATCAACAAAAGAGAATAAAACTTGAAATAATAATATACAAAAGTCCTGTCATACCTTTTCTGATAGTGCCAGGTGGTTGTTCTCTAGATACTCCAGGTAAAGCTTGTATACATTTTTTTAAGTGTTTTTAGGTTTGGTCTTACAAATACAAGAACTGGATTACATGCAAAGGGACTGAGCAGGACTTAAATTCTGTGTTTGCCTCCATTTCTCATGGTGGCTACAGCTCTGTCCTCTCTCCAAGCAGTGGGGGCATGGGGTCTGGAGTCAATAAATCCCACCAGCTTCGAGCAAATTACCAAACCTCTCTCACCTGAGTGACTTCATCTATGTTGTTGGAATGGTATTAAAAGTGTGTATCTCACAGGTTTTTGTAATAGTTACAAAGTTATCACACCAAAAGCGTATGTAAGAATATCTAGCAAAAGTTAGATGAAAAAACTGGTTACATTTATTTTTAGTACTTATTTTTGTCTTCATCCCACTGAGGGTTTTGTCTTAGAACTCTTACAATAAATATAATGCAGTGGGAAGTCTCAATTAGAGTATTTTAAAAGTAATTTTCTTAGCTAGTTTTCACTATTTTTAATAATTTGAAGTAACTTCTAGATATTTTAAAAAGTAGCTTCTCCAAGTCACTTTCAATGATACAAATCTAACTGTAGTTAAAAATATTTTTCAAAGGAATTTGCTAAAATATTTGAAAAAAGTTTCCTTTATGCTTCCACATTATGTAAATTTTTAAAGGAAATCATTTGTAGACAACATCTTCGCTTTGAGCTCAAACAGGTTTAGTGCACAAGCATTTTGTATCAGCAGAGTCCAAGAACTTGGTTTTTATGGTAGCCTGTGTTCTGGTTGCCAAAAGTCTTTCCCATCAACCTCTTTTAGAAAGTGAGAAACTATCTTTTAAAGCCTTTCCTAAACTCCCAATATACTGCTTACTCAGTGACAGTGATTTGAAACTGATATAGAAGTCTTAACATTCTATAAAAATCACAAAGGAGCTTGTTGAGTAGAAAATAAGAGATTAATAGATACATATGCAGCCAGGTAAAGGAAGATCCTTGGCCTGTCATTTCATCCCCTATTTTTCGATTTACCCCCCAAAAGTCCACTGTAGTTGAAGGAAGAGCAGAGAATGAACAAAGGAAATCTGTATATCGGAAATGAATAGCTACTCAGTGGAGTCGCTTTGCCTGACGGAATGTGGGTAAATGGTAAAGCCAAGGTTCAAATCCAGGCAGTGTGGCTACTGGGTTCTTGTTCTTAACCATCTGCAGTCGATGGAAAAGTATCTGTACTATGTTCAGAGTGCCATGCACTGGCACTTATTTAATGTGACTCGAGGAGGCTCTATGAATGTGTTTTAAAGTTGTATTTAATTTCAAGGTATTTTTTAAATGAAAGATATTAGCACTACTTAGAGCAAGAAGGGTCATCTGGAGAATTACAAATCATTTAAACCAATACACTTCTAAAATTAATCTAGAGATCATTTTAACTTCTCTCAAACCATTTCATTTACATAAATAAATTGAAGATATACATAAGGAAATAGTTCTGTAGGAAGTCCTTTAAACCCTAGGTGTCTCTCTGCAAAGTCTCTAAAAATTCTGGAGATGTTTTATGAAGTTTGAAACAATGTTTTATTTTACAGTTCTATTTCTCCAGGAGTTTTCTTATGGAAAGCTAAGTTTTGCTACATATATTATCTGTGCTAACATATTTAGCATTTATAGTCAACTTGCCCTTCATTACTAAAATAAACACAGCTTAAGACTTTGCTGATAACTGCATAATGGAGTGTTCTGAGATAGGTCGGATTTGAGATAATCAATTTATAAAATGGCAGGTTGGCATAGCCACTGAATTGGTGAGCCACTTAAAAATTTTCTTTTTCAAGATAGTATCATCCAAGCCTTCTCAGTATGGGATTTAAATAAGTGTTTGTTAGATGAATGAGCGAATGACTAAATATATTTGTTTAAACAAGTTTTTAGCTTGATAACTGATAAAGAATGTTACATTTTTAAAGGATAAAGAAAAGCGCCTACTTTGATAGGAGGGCGTTTTTATATTTCTAGGGTTGGAGGCAAAGTATATTTCTTTTTTGTTTGTTTTTCTTTTTAGAGACAGGGTCTTGTTCTGTTGCCCATGCTGGAATGCAGTGGCATCATCATAGCTCACTGCAACCTCAAACTCCTGGGGGCTCAGGTGGTCCTCCCACCTCTGCCTCCCGAGTAGCCAGGACTTAACAGGTACACATCACTACACTTGACTAACTTTTTTATTTTTTGTAGAGACGGGGTCTTGCTATGTTATCCAGGCTGGTCTCGAACTCCTGGCCTCAAGAGTTCCTCCCACCTTGTTCTCCCAAACTACTGGGATTACAGGTATGAGCCACTGTTGTCTGGCCAAACTATATTTCTTTTTCTAGTTTTGATATCTACATTTGGCAGGTTTAGATGGCTGGTCAGAACTAGATTAGGGCACTCTTTCAAGGGAAGACGTGAGTTTACCTAATGGCATAAGCACAGGAATACACTGCATATGGCTGGGATGACTAAGCAGCCTGAAACCTTGTGAGTCAGTGCAAACTTTTGGAAGGTTGGACTCTTAGAATTCAGGGTGGAGTATGATCTTCAAAGTTTAAGAATAAAACAAGGAGAGAGCTGTGATTCACAAGTTGGTTAAGGAGATATAGGAATGTAACAAATTTGAGCCTAGTGTTTAATTATTTTAGAAGCTTATTCCGGAACAGCATTTTCCAAAGTATGTCCAATGTAATATTAATAGATGCTACTTGCAAAAAGGATCCATGGTCAAATAGTTTCAGAATAAGTGGATTAAATAAAGTTGAGGAGGGTTATTTAGAGTAGTACTAACGTATGCTGTGAATCCCAAAGGCAAGGAAAAGTAATGTACTATTTCTATAACTAACCATGCAACATTTTTTCTTCGTGGAACATTGTTGGGATTATTATTTGATGAGACGAACTTTGAGAACTGCTGCTCAACAGTAACTATGAATTCCACTCTATTGTTGGTTGTTTAAAAATAATTTAACAGTAAAAAAAAATAAATAAATAAAAAAAAAATAATAATTTAACAGTTCTGACCTGGAGCTCAAGCAACGAATATACCTTATAGTTCTGATCACTAAAATATACGAATCAAGGTTCCTGTTTCAGCTTAGCAGGAACATACTCCCAATTGTAGGAAAGATACACAAAAGGAAAAAAGGCTGAATTATAAACCTAAAGTTATAATGTGACGATAAAGTTGCAATTCTCTAAAACTTCAAATTGTTTTCTGTCACACTCGCATTCCCCTAAGAAAGGTACCATGCTATATTTTTCCTCTTTCAAAGAACCTGCGTGGCAACAGATGCTTAATGGGTACTCAAAACCTTTTTTAGGGGTTTAAGGGGGAGGGGAGAAGTGGGAGGTTAGATGAGGGAAAGGAATACCCATGGGAAAGGAATCATGGAATTCCCATGATAAATGAAATTCACAGAAAAGCCTCAAAATCTTCAGATCTCAGTTTCATACTGTAGCATGTACATAGTTTTGGCTCCTCAATTCAGCTGTTTCTAAGATGCTGGGATGCATCTTCCCATGGCCACAATGTTGTGTCCATTAACGGTCTGGTTAAGTGATTCTGTTAGTTGATACTGAACTGAAGGTACAGTGCTGAAAGTACTGAAGGTAACAGATTAATCAAGGCTTTGGTGGCCTTACTATCAATGTAACAGGAATTTATCTAAGAGCTAAAAAATTCGGATGCCAGAAGCATGTCTCTGTTGTTTGTAATCTAGTTAACAGAATAATGGTTTGCCTAAACTCTAAACCATTGGTGGGAATTCTCATGGAGTAGAGCAAAGGATTAAGGGTAAAGACTCCGAAAAGCATGGGAGAGTGGCTTGGGAGCAGGCAAGTTAGGGAGTGTTAGCTGCACCTCTTCCTGTAGTATCTTGTTTGGATGTGTGGCATGATAACCCAACCTGGGGCCAAAGCCCAAACCTGGAATTCTCTCTAAAACCACCTCCTCCCTTAAGCCTACTGTTCCATCTGTCAATTCTACTACCTGTATCTTTCTCCTCCTTCTTTTCCATCCTCACTGCTATTAGTTGGCTGAACCATACAAAGTGTGTCAAAAACAGCTGAATATCAGCAATTTCACATTACTCAACCCAAAACTTTAATTCGGGCTTTCACCATCTCTCATGTATATTTTTGCAATAACTCTGTTATTTCTGCCCCCATAAAACCCTAGTCATTTTTCTAAATGAAAACTAAGAAATGACCCCCTGCTGCTTAAAACACTTTAAGAGCTCCTGATTTACTACTGAATCAAATTCATCTATCTTAATTTGGCATATAATTCATCTTAGTCTCCAATTCTCATCCTCTCTGGCCACTCCCTCTACACACTCTATGCTCCAGCAATACTGCTTTATTTGTAGTTTTCTTCTAAATTCACGATGTTTTACATCTCTCTGCTTTTGTATACACTGTTGTCTTTGCCTGAAAAGGCTCTCCCCTCTGTTCTCTTCCCCTTTTCCCTCCTGAGATTCCTAGCTAACCTCTAAGACACACCCTTCTACGACACCACCCGGACCATCCATCCAGTGTTGGTCTTTCTTTCCTCCACGTTACACCCACGTGGTGTATGCGGTCTTAATGCTGCTCTTAAGCAAGCTGATTTTGTATCAGTCCCCTTACTAGACACCTAATTGCTTTAAAGTAACACTACGTTTTATAATATTCCCACTGCAAGCACCCAAGTATTAACTGTTAAATGAACAAATGGGCACAAGAAAGCAGTTATGATGGAGAAGGGAGAAAAGGAGGTCATTTTACTATTCTTTCTTGATACTTTCCATCCTGCCAACATACTATTTGGTCTTGTGTTTGTGTTAATGAAAATGTATGGGCTTTTAGGCTGGTCCGTCTGAGACAGGTAATAGGAAGGTTCTGGTTAACAGCTGCTTTGCCCAGGGACAGATCTCAAGATTTAGCATCTGAGGGGGAAGAACATTGCTGTGACTGACCAGCTGAGATAGCTATCACAGTGAAGTCAATTACTTGTATGAAAGATTTACACAAGGCAAGGAAAACCATTACTTCTCAGCTTTTTCTCTTGCCATCTTTTTAAAAAATCTGTTCTATAAATAAATGAAAATAGCTAGTGGATTTGAGTTCTAAATTGACCTTCTCAAATACCGTCACTACTGAAACTGTACCACAAGTGAAATGATCAAAAGGGTCACCTTAGAAAAGAAGGTATAAAAAAAGAAAAGGAATGCAATCTAGATACACTAAATCGGCTGGCGAACTGCTGGTCTGGTTCCCACCATTGTGATCTTTCAAATAGCTACCAAGTGCCAGACAGCTACTGTGCTAGACACTGCCATGACAATGGATTTTGTCCAACTTTGTGAGTTCTGGGCACCATATACTACCTAGCTATCATTTCATTTCTAAACATCAGTAGCTCCCATGGTCAGAGCCTGGCACATGAATGTTTGACACTCATGCTGGTAATGGTGGTGCTAAAAATAACAGTGACGGCAGGAACCGCAACCTCCACTTAGTAAGCGCTTCCAACGTCCCAGGTACCAGCTGAATACACCGTGTACAAGATTCATTGAATCCTCACAATAATCCCAGATAAATATTATCCCAGTTCTTATTTTAAAATACGAAATGATGAGACTTGACCGTTTAAATGGTAGAGATAAAATCTGAACCCATCTCTGTTTGATTCCAAAGCCTTACTCTTAGCTATTATGAAACAGAACTAAATAAAAAAGCTCAATCTTCATTGTTGATTAATGTATTCATATATAAATACATAAAAAATGCAGGCTTACCATGTAGGATCTACAATGTCGAGTTTCCTTCCAAAAGAGCTACTCTAGTATTTTCTAGTAAACGGTTTCCCCTGGAACTCACCTTTGATTTGCTGTGCCGTATGAGGGCAGACAGCAGTCTGTTTGACTCCCCCATCACACCAGCATGGTCTTTGGCTTCACACCATTCCACCAAACGCTCCACTAACTTAACATTCTTGCCCAGTTGCTCAGCAGCTTCTGCTATAAGAAAGAAGAAAAACCACAAAGGAATGAATCACTGATGAGCAACTGGCTGAAATAATTGCAAATCACATGTCTAAAAACACAACAATTTTATTAAAGCAAGGACTGCAAATACGCATCTGATGGGCTATCTGGCTTTTTCTATAAAGTTGTAGATTTTCATACAAAAACAAACAACTTCATATTCTTTTTGGTAAGCTTGACCATCTGGTTAGTACTCTGGCAGACTGTAACGAAGGTTTTTTAGAAGGACTTTAAGCAATCAATATAGAAAAGGGCTCAGAATTTAGAAATAATAAACATAATTCAATACTAGCAGTGGTTTTCACTGCTGTTTCTGCACAATGTTATCCCTGTTTGCCAAACAAATTTTTAAAAATTTTGACTATCACAATAATGAAATTTGATTTTGAAGACAAGGTAAAAATGGGCATAGAGTGCCAAGACACAAAAACCTCTCAGGAATAATAAACCAACCTAAAACCAGGATTACATGTACTAATAAAAAGGCATACAGTATCATTTCCACTTAAAATCAATTCATGACAAGCACAGGGATTAGTGAATGAGGTTCCAAAACCAACTTTTTTTTACCTTTTATCTGCTATTTATTTTTATGATTACATCATCCTAAATGCTAAAAACAAGTCCTTTTCCAACTAGAGGCACATTAAGACTATCATACCAAAAATGCAATTTGGAAAAACATTTCTTTTACCTTGTGCATCTATTAACATTCTTAATGTTCCCAAAAGTTTGAACTGAACCGGGGGCATTTCAGATTTAAGAAATTTCAAAACTGCCTCTGTGACCCCAGCTGATAACATCTTTGCTTTATTTATAACTAGAGAGAAAGAGAAAGAGAATATGGTTAAAGTGGTGTTAACATTCTTGATGATAAACATTCAATTCAATACACAATACACATTTACTAAATGGGTCCTTAAGGCTCATGTTGTATTTTTCTATTTAGAAACAATCCTGTTACTTTTCTAAGAATTTTAAGAATGGAATTAAGTGTGTGTGAGTGTGTAAGTATCCTGTTTGTATATAGGAGTATAACAGATAAATCATACTAACTGGCTTTTAAAACCCAACCTAAAAACATTTATTTACATAGTCTGTAAAGGAAATCTGAAAATGTTGTTGTCTTATAATAAGAAGCACAATTCCTCAATTTTATTAAATGTTTCTTTTTACCTCTGTCTCTGACCCAACTGTATTAATATGTTACAGACATTAATATATAATATTGCTTTATGAACCAAACTGAATTCATATGGATTGGATCTTCATATAATTGCATTATGTCACCTAATCAGAAATTTAGTTTTAGGCCAGGTGTGGTGGCTCATGCCTGTAATCCCAGTCACTTGGGAGGCTGAGGTGGGAAGGTTTGAGCCCAGTCTGGGCAGCATAGCAAATTCTTGTCTCTTAAAAATTAAAAAAACATTCTGTGAAAGTAGAATACAAGAATAGTTTTAACTATCTTCTGTATTCTTTCCCATGACAATGTGATTTCATGGCTCAAAAGCCTTTAATCCAAAGACAAATTAAGGCTATTTTAAAAAAACTGTATGTCTGCTTATGGGGGAAAAAAAAGAAAAGCAACTTAAATCATTCTTTAGGAGATTCTCTTAATTGATTATCTTACCTCAACTAAAGATGTTTTAAAAAGCTTAACTATACTATACAATGAAAATCTAAGAGTTCACAAAAGGTAACAAGATATTTGAATGATCTGAACAAAGACAAGATTATTCTCATATAGTCTCAGAAAATGTATTTAACATATGATCTCCATTTATTAGTAAAAAAAACAGTATGAACAATTTGAAGACTAATTTTTTCTTCTTGGGCAGAGCAGGTCCACAAATCACACGGAGTAAATATCTTCCCAAAATGATGGATTTTATTTTTTACATAGCTGCTTCCTATCTATAAGCCTTACCTGGGATGGCCAGGTTTCTGAGGGCACTTAGTGCTGCATGTTGTACGGTTACGTTTCCATCTTCTACGTGTCTGTCCAGTAAATCCATAAGTTTTTCTACAATCCCATTGTCTACCATGTGAATACAATTTCCATCTGAACAAAACAAAAACATTTTTTCTTCCTCTTTAAAAATGTCTATAAATATTTTATAATACTGATACCAGCCTATTATCTACCTACATTAGGGAAAAAGGGAACTATAAAAAAGCATATTACAGGCCGGGCGCTGTGGCTCACGCCTGTAATCCTAGCTCTTGGGAGGCCGAGGCGGGCGGATTGCTCAAGGTCAGGAGTTCAAAACCAGCCTGAGCAAGAGCGAGACCCCGTCTCTACTATAAATAGAAAGAAATTAATTGGCCAACTGATATATATATAAAAAATTAGCCGGGCATGGTGGCGCATGCCTGTAGTCCCAGCTACCCGGGAGGCTGAGGCAGGAGGATCGCTTGAGCCCAGGAGTTTGAGGTTGCTGTGAGCTAGGCTGACGCCACGGCACTCACTCTAGCCTGGACAACAAAGTGAGACTCTGTCTCAAAAAAAAAAAAAAAAAAAAAGCACATTACAATTCTTTCTCTCATCAGATTTATAGGTTTATCTATTACTGAGTGAGATGTCTGATTATAAAGATTCTTAAAATAGATAAAATTTTAAAAATCATAAAAATTACAAGAAACATCCCTACCTTACAGCCTGATAATACATCAGAAGTAGAAACCACATGTTTAAAACACCCTTTTGTTATCATGGCTGATATTTAAATTATTAATATTTTGCTACTCTTAACTCCATCATTAGGGAGTTACTCCGAAAGAGAAGAGAGTAAAAATGGAATAAGCCATTATAATATACACCAATAGCTCATACTGGAATAAAATTAAACTAAAAAGAAAAATAAACCACATTTCCTAGACAAAGCATAGTTTGACTGAATTTGAGTTTCTTACAAGTGCCAGATTTTATAAATAAACACAAGGTCTTTTGTATCTGAAATATTAAACTAAATTAAATATCTGCCCTAAAACAGAGGATTAGTTATACTTAAGTTTTACGGGCATAAAAGTATAAACTGAGGCATAATAACCCTGGAATGAATACTCAAGAATATTAAATTCAAAATAAGATCTCAGGCAAGTGGTCAATGCATATTAGAATAGGACTTTAAGTTTACCAAGCTCTGAAGTGCAAAGAGTTCAAAAGAAGCACTTCATGATCACTGTTCGTGATCTTTAAACTGTCAGAATTTAGTTCAACTACATAAAATGTAATTTAGGAAAGTCACTATAAGTACTGTAGATTTCAAACTAAGCAGCATATACACATATTACACAAACTTGTGAACTGTTCCAGTTTTAGTACATGTGATGGCAAAGCAAAAATAAAAAAATAGAGAACATTAACAAAGGAGGAACTAATATGCTTACCATTTCTGGCAAAATTTGCAATTGCCAATGCTCCAGCAAGCTGTAGCTGGTGGTTATTTGATGGAATCCAAGAGAGCACCCTTTGAAACACACTGCCTTTTCCGCCTTCAAATAATTTCTGCATGGATTCATCTGGAGGTAAATGCAACAAATATGAGAAAAATAATTAGGCATAACAAATTCATATTCCTAAGTGAATATCCAACTGGGAAACTACATACTTCACAAACTATTAATTTCATAATGGGAAAGGTAATGAATCTTTTTATAATAAACTTTTAATAGAGACTAGACAATGGACTTTAGCATTTTTTTAGTCCAAGTCCCAAGCAGCCATTTACCTTTTAGTCCTTTGGTACCACAGCTTTGTCTTCTATATGACAGCTCTTCAAATAGTGGAAAATAGCCAAGATTCTTCTTTTTCAGTTTATTATCTCTAGCTCTATCCATGACATGTTTAAGGTTTCAAAATCATCACATCAACAGGATGTGAGATAGGAAAATGAGAAAATGTCTAGTATACTACTTACAGAAGAAACTTAATAAATTTTTAAAAATCTGATGACTAAGTTCTTTGGTTGGCATAAATTACAACTCACCTCCAAGAAGTAATAAAACCATTAGATCTGAACCAGTTTTGAGCTCAGCAATATCATCCTCTTTGTCACTATCCACTTTCTGTTGAACAATCTCTAGTAGACACTCAACCAGGCCTGCTTCAACCAGCTGTAGTTTAATAGCATCTAAAGAACAATGTGAACAAAATAACCAAAATGTGAGATAAAATAGGAGCTCTGGTATAAGCAATCCATTACAAAGAATTATAAGAAACTAAGAAAATGCACGAGTTAGGTAACACTTTCAAAGACTTGAGTTTCAAAATGATCTGATGGTACACCTTAAATACACAAAAGCTTTAGTTCATTTTTCCATTTGAAATCATGTCACCTTTCACAATGTCTCGCAGCACCTAAACAAATTGATTCTCAGCTCTGAAAGCAACTAATATCAATTCTAGATAGTATGTTCACGTTTAAAAGGCAATACTGGCTGGACACAGTGACTTACGCCTGTAATTCTAACACTTTGGGAGGCTGAGACAGGAGGATCACTTGAGGCCAGAAGTTTGAGACCAGCCTGAGGAACATAGTGAGACCCTGTCTCTAAGAAAACTTAGCTGGGTGTGGTGGTGTGTGTCTTTGGTCGCAGCTACTTTGGAGGCTGAGGCAGGTGGACTACTTGAGCCAAGGAGTTTGAGGTTGCATTAAGCTATGATGGCAGCACTGCACTCTAGCCTGGACAACAATCAAACAAACAAACAAACAAAGAAAAAGGACAACAGTATATCTGTTATATAAAGCTAAAATATGTCCACTAATGGGTCTTGAATACACAATTCTTAAAAAGTAAAGAGCTACTAGGAAATTTTAACCTATATCACAAGCATATTTGGATTCATATTTGTATAGATGTTATTTTTCTAGGGCAATTAATCTATATATAACTTTAGAAACTTAAAAAGTTATGTCTTTAAAACGGGCTTCATGCTTCATGATTTCTTTCTTTTCTTTTTTCCTTTTTTTGAGACAAGGTCTGGCTTTGTTGCCCAGACCTTGATGCAATCATAGCACACTACAACCTCAAACTCCTGGGCTCGAGCGATTCTTTTGCCTTAGCCTAGCTGAGTAGCTGGGACTACAGGCGCTTGCAACCGTGCCTGGCTAATTTTTGCGAGATGGGGTTTTGCTGTGTTGCCCAGGCTGGTCTTGAGCTCCTGGCCTCGAGCTCCTGGCCTCAAGTAATCTTCCTGCCTCAGACTCCTAAACTGCTGGGGCTACAGGCCTACAACACCATGCCTGGCCAGGTTTTTCTTAATTTAACATTTTCTTAGGTGATGAGTACATGGTGGTTTATTAAAACATTCTATTTCTGAATAGGTTTTAAAATGTTCATAATAAAAGTTGAAAGAAAAAACCTTTTGAAGCTCTCTGATGGCTAACCAACAAAATATATTTTAGAGACAGAATTTATATCCCAACTCTATTTTTAAAAATGATCTTCACAGGAAACGCTACCCCTACATCAAATCAATTTATTATTATTAATATACTCCTAATGTCCTAAATATTCTTTCATTATAACTTGATTTCACTGCAAATTTTATATTTGCATCTAATATCTATCTCCCATTATAGCAGATATACTTTATTTATCTATCTTTAAACCTAAACTGGCCTACCTAAATGCTTTGGGTGTACATGATACTCCTTAAGATAAATGCTGATCAACTTTAAAATTACATTAGCTACCCAGAAATTTTTAAATTTACATTTAACTTTTCAGTTGGATTTTGTTTTAGACATGATTTAAGCTGTGTATGCATACATATACAGCAATGGCAGTTTCAGCCTGTCGTTTAGAAGAAACAAAGACTTTCAAAAAATATATACTTAAGACTTTCAGGCAATTTTAATGTGTAAAAATTTAGCCTTTTTATATCACCAGGACCACTGATCTTCTTTTGAATATTATCTAAGAATACGCAGAATATTCAACCTGGAATATTTCTTTAAAAGGTACACTCGCATTGCACTGTGCCAGGCTAAAAGTAGGGCGTTTCCTTGGTTACAGAATGCTAGGGGTAGAAATGTGTGGCGACTAGAATTTTAAAAAACATGATATAAAAAAGCCTTAAAAATATGAAAAACCTTGAACTGTACAAATCCCAACATATGATGTTGGAATCACTCTCCTTTGCGTACCAAGAAAACCAAGGATTAGTCTAGAAACAAGTTTTCAATCACTAGACCAAGAAATTCATTGCCAGCAACCCAGGAAGCCCATCTTGCATGCCCCTTTCTGACTACAAGCCAGGCCCTTCATTCCTCTCACCTCACTACCCTGACTGTTATGGTAATCACTCTATACTTTTTATTGTTTCACCAAATAATCATTTCTAAAAACTACAGTTTAGTTTTAACTTTTTTTGAACTTTATTAATATATAAAAAAAACCATACAATACGTAGTTTTCAGTGTTAGCTTTTTCCTTTCAACATGTTTATAAGATTCATCCACACTATTGGTTATAGCTGTCTTTGTTCTTTTTCATAACTCTGTATTTTTCCATTATATGAATATGATGTGTTTTATTCATTCTGTTAATGGATATGGGTGGGTTTCAATTTTTCGTTATTATAAATAATGCTGCTTTGAACATTCCTGTCCTGGCTCCTGGTGCACATATGAACATGTTTCTGGATGTATTTCTAAGAATGGAACTGCTGCATCATAGGCATGCACACTTCCAACTCCAATAAATATTATTTTCCAAATTATACCAATACTCCCACCGCTCCATATCCTCATCAACACTGGGTATTATCAGACCTTCCAGTGGGTATGTAGTGGTATTTTTTTGTGGTTTTATTTTGTATTCCCTGATTATTACAAGATTGAGCATATTTTTATGTGTTTATTAGCTTTTTGGATTTTATCTTTTGTACCTACTCAGATTTTTTGCACATTTTCCCATAAGGTTTTCTACATTTTTCTTAATGATGCATAGGGGTTTTTATATAATGCACATGAGTCCTCTGTCAGTTATTTGTGTTGTAAAAATATTCTCTCATCCACTGTCTCACTTTGTAACTCTTAATGGTGTCTTTTGAAAAATGGAAGTTTTTACTTTCAAAGCAACCAAAATATATCGATCTGTTCCTTTATGATTAGAGCCTTTTGTGACCAAAGAAAACTTTCTGTACTCCAAGGCCTGGGTGATATTCTCCTATCCTACATTTTAAGATAGACTTTTAACTCTCAAAATTAGGCCAATTTGGAATTTTCTATATAGTATGAAGCGTGGGATATCTCTAATTCAATTTTTTCCCATATTCCCAGGACCCTTTATTGAAAATACTATCCTTTCCATATTGTTTTGCAGTGACTTCTTTAAAACAAAAGGCACATCTGTTAATGCATGTTCTTGGGCTATATATTCTTTTACACTAGTGGTCTTGTCTATCCTTCTACAAGTACCATACTGTCTTTTACTATAGTTTAATCAGAATGAAGTTTTGTTATTTGTTATCTGGTAAAATCAGTTCTGCTGCCTTGTTCTCTTTCACAGTATCTTGGCTATTCCCGGCCTTTGGGATTTTGGTTAGAACTGCATTGAGTCTATAGATCAACATGGGGAGACAAAACGTCATTACAACATTGAATTCTCCAATCTAGAAGAGTAATATATATAGCTTTCCATTTATTTAGAGCTTTAATTTCTCTCAATGATTTTCTAAGTTTCCTGCTGGAGATCTTACACAACTTTAATTAGTTCATTCTTAGGTATTTCATTTTTTATAGTATGGTAAGTGTGTGTGTGTATATTTTTTTTACAGTCCAGATGTCTTTAATTTTTTTTTACGCGGCTTACGCTATGGATTCATAGGGAGCAGGCTGTAGCAGCTCAGGCTCCTTTCCACTGGTTCTTACAAGTGTGCTTCTATGGGTGGAGCAGTCTGGGGCCTTCAGCTGAACTCAGATACTTTTCTCTTCGGCTTCCTCCTTTTTCTGATCATTTTCCTTCACACGTTTCAGGAAGCTATCTCGGCTCTCAGAGTGCTTAATATGCTAAATACATACATTAATACTCTTGGCAAGAATCTTGCTCTTGTTTGTTTACCACAGTGCTAACAGCATGCTGGGTAACACTGCAGACTTCCAGTTTCGCCATATAACATTGGTGGGGCATTCCTTTTCGAACAGTACCCGATTCTTTTGATGTCTACATCATCTTTCCTGTATGTGGCCATGTAGGTGGCCAAAGGAACAACTCCATGTTTTCTAAAAGGTAGAAAACATATATATTGGGTGTCCCTCCTCATTTCCTTTGTGTCTATCATTTTGGTGAATTACTGGAAGATGGCAGTCCAGCTGAAAGGTCTAAACAATATAATTTTATTTATTTTATTTATTTATTTATTTATTTTTTCGTTTGATAAGTCTAAGTTTTGCTAGGAACAATATAATTTTAATATTTTCTAGTTTTTGCTGGTATAAATACAATTTTCTTTTTCTTTTGTTTTTGGTCAGAAACCTAACTAAATTCTGGCTAATTAAAAAAATTGAACTATAAAATTGATGTATAGATTCTTTTGAATTGAACATATATAATCATATCTTATAATGGCATGAACATATATAATCTCAAAAAATGACAGTTTTATTTCTTTTCTATATCTTTTCTTTCTTTTATTCTTTCTTTTAATGCACTGGATGTTTCCTGCAATACAGTACTGAACAGAAGTGGGAATGATCCTTCTTTTTATGTTACCGTTGAGTATGTCCTATGTAGGCTTCTGGTAGATATCCTTTTCGGATTAAAAATTTCCCTCCTATCGCTAGTTTCCTAAGAATTTTTATAAGTTTATAATATTTTAATTTTTACAAATAGGTAATCTTATCAACTGCTTTTTTTTTTTAGAATCTGAGAAGATCATATGATTTCTCTCCTTTATTATTTTAAGGTGATTTATATTGCTTACATCTGAATATTAAACTGCTTTACATTTTCAGAATAAGTGCAATTTAGTATGATTAATTTTTAAATATATTACTAGAGTTGATTTACTAAAATTTTAGGACAAACTTTGGATCTATGTTCATGGTGAGATTAGCCTTTAATTTTCATTCACGTATTGTCTTTGTTGGGATTTAGTGTAAAGGTTTCATTAGCCTCATTAAAATTAATTGGTAACATTCTCTGGAAGAATTTAAGATAAGATTACTCAGCTTTTCTATTTCTTCTTATGTCATTCATACTTTAAAATGTATTGGCATCAAATTGTTCATAACTCTTTTAATAGCTGTAAGATCTGAAGGAAGGTCTCCTGTTGCATTCTTTTGGTTTTATTTGCACAATTTTGGTTAATTGTGCTTTCTCTTTCTTTTTTCCTGATTAATCAGTCTAGGAATTTACCAATTTTGATAAGTCTTTTCAGACTCAACTTTGGCAATTATATGCTTGTATTGCATTGCATGTTTTCTATTTTATTAATTTCAGCTCTTTATATATTTCTTTCCTTTTGCTTTTCTGGGTTTATGTTTTCTTTCCCCTAAATTCCTGAGAATGAATACTGAGCTCACTGATTTTAGTTTTTGTCCTTTTTAATTTCTTTCTTTTAATCCTCAATGTGATAGTAACTTTTTCTAATATATGCATTTATTGCAAAAAATTTCCAAGTATGGCTCTATCTGTATTACATAAAATTTGAGATTATAATATTTTCATTATTAGAAACATTTCTAATTTTCATTATAATTCTTTTTTGACCTCTAAAGTATTAGAAGTGTATTTCTTAATATCTGAACGTACAGAGATTTCCTAGTATCTTTTTATACTATTAGTTACTGGACAATTCACTTAGGTCAGATAAATGTATACTATGTGATTACAATCCTTTGAAATTTCTTTCATGACAAGCACACATGTTCTTCAATGTTTCACATGTTCTTGAAAGAGCTCTGCAGTTTAGAGCACTGGGTACAGTGTTCTAAAATATGCCCATTAAATAAATTTTCTTAATCATGTTGTTCAAATTTTCTATATCCTTATTTTCTTTAACTGCTTGTCCTATAAATTACTCAAAGAGGTATTAAAATCTCCCATGATACCTGTGGATTTGTCTATTCTCCTCATAGTTCTGAAAATTTTGCCCCACATTTTGGGGTAATGTATAATTGTATCTTCGAGATGAATTATACCTATTATTACTATAGCAAGTAATACTGTATCTCTAGCCATCATCTTAGTCTATTTTATATTTATATAACTACTGCAGCCTTCTTTAGGTTTGAATGGTATAGTTTCTCCATCCGATTCTCAATCCTTTAAATCCCCTTATATTTTAATAAGTGTTCCTTATTTTAAAAAGTGTGGTTGGTTTACAAAACCCAGCTAACAAACGGTCTTTTAATTAAAGCAGTTAGGCCACACACATTTAATTACTGAAATACTATGACTTAAATCAACATTTTTAATGCTCTATTTGTCTCCCATGTTCCTTTTTCTTTCCTCTCTTGTCTTATTGTAGATTGTTAAAGCATTAAAGAAAACCAAAAAACTTTCCATAAATCCTTCTGTTTGGCAGTTATACATTATTTTAAAAAATTATTTTAGTAGTCACCTTAAAAGTTGAAATAATTGAATAACCAGAGTGTACCGTCTTCAAGATAATACAAGGGTCTTAGGACTCTAACTCCTGTTACTTCTCTTCTGATTTATGTGCTCATTTGCATCATATGTTACACCTCACAACTTATTTTTACTTTATACATTCAATGTTCATGAGATTCACCTACGTATTTACTAGTTTTTTTAATCTTTAGTCTCCCCTGCATTTACATCATTTATCTGACAAACAACCTTTATAACATCTGGCTTTCACTGTTGCTGTGGAGAAGTTAGCTGTCAGTCAAATTGTTGCTCCTTTGAAGGTAATTTGTTATTTTCTGGATACTTTTAAGATTTTGTCATAGGTTTTCTACATTTGTCATAGATTTTCTACATTTTCAGTACAATGCATGTAGATGCAGATTTCCTTTTATCAGGTTTTGAGTTCATTCAGCTTCTTGAATCTTTGATATCTTTCATAATCTCTGGTAAATTCTTTACCAAAATTTCTTCTCTGTACCCTCCTAACCTCTACTCTCCATCTGGGACTTCAAAAAAATGTATATGAGAGCTTCTAACTTTATCCTTTATACCTCTTATTCTCTTTTATGTCAATTGATTTTTTTTTCTTTATAATTCATTCTGGATTTCTTTCCAATCTTCCAGTTCACTGATTTTCTAATTCAACTATATGTATCAAATCTGCCAGTAGATCCTTAATTTTGGCTGTATTTTTCAATCCAGGGATTTCCACTTGTGTGGTTTTTTTTTAAAGCTGTTATGTTGCTTTTTTCTGGTTTTTAATTTCTTTCTTAAAATTTTAAGCTTGTTTTAACACTTTAAATATAATAAGCATACCTGTTTTGAGTCAATGTCTAATAATTCCAGCATCTGGAGATTTTCTGCTATTGCCTATTCTTGCTTATAGTGTGCCTTGTCTCCCTATGTGTCTGGGCCTCTTCGATTATGTACGAGACATTATATTTGGAAAATTATTTATATGGAATTTTTTTTATTCTGACTCATTCTCACTTTAAGATTTTTTGCCCCCAAAAGAGAATAGTTTACCAGTATTCTCACTGTTGACAGCCCCAAGACTCTAACTTTTATCCCCTTTGCCTTACAAACCTGCCTTTTCCAGAATGGCATAAGAATGTGTTAGCTACAGAAGCACCTTGCTAAGCTTTTAAAACCAGAGGAACTTGGAAAGCAGCTTTGGCCAATGGAGATATAGTTATAAAGTAGATGTAGCTGAAGTTAGATATCTCCAAAATAAAACTTATCACATTAGACAAAGAAAGAGTTTTAAGTTAAATAGCTGGCAATTAAATATGATCAAAACCTAAAATGTGAATTTATTTTCTCACCGTTTTCTGCCAATGGAGCAAGAACTTCAAAAATCATTTCTCTTTTATCATGCTCTATTTGTTTCTTGAAGAGTTTTACCAGCTCTTCAGCAATGTTTGTACTGGCAAACTGTTCTTTACTTGACTCTGTAAAATAAAAGAAAATGTAGAGTAAGCAAACAAAATTAAACCCCAAAACTGTTCTCTACTGCTTTCAATACTTGGTCATTTTGTATCATTACTGACAAATACATTCTTCAAATACAGGAACAATCGAATCCATTTTTAATGCCCTTGAAAAGGAAAAATGTCCAAGGCTTTAGAAAAAATGTTCTGATCCAATTATATTTGAGGCTATAAAAAAATCCTCACTAGCATAACATATAGGTAACCATAGCAACAATAAAATTAGTCATTAATTTAGTTTCAAGGCTTTTAGTCAAAGAAAAATTACTTGTAACATACTGTATTTTACATGGCTGAATTAAAGGAGACTTGTCTTTAGTATCATTAAATTGGTGTTTTTGCACTGGTCCTGACACGCCCATGACTACAGGCCAGTTCTGCATGAGCACTGGGGTCTCATCCCCACCCCTTGCCTCCTGAGCACCTACAACCTTACTCTATAGCCTATCAATCAAGACTTAAATGTATTTCATATAAAAAATATTAAAATCACTCTTCCTTTTCTCCACTTCTTTCTTCTTCAACTACTATTCAATCTCTTTCACATTACAAGTAAGTTTCTCGATAACACTGTTTATGTACACTGGCCTCTACTTTCTCAACTCACATGCACTCTTAAACGCACTTTAAACTAGTTTTGGCCCACTTCTACACTCTGCAATCTCCTATGATTGTTCCTGCTTTTCCACCAGACCTCTATAAATTCCAGTTCCTTGGTACCTGGTCCTTTGATTTCTTACCTTCTCAGTCCTCACTCTCACCCTCTGCAATCTGACTCTCTTCCACGGCATCAAACAGCATCTCTGTGTTGACACATTTATATAAGCATAGCACTAGTGCTCTTCTAGACTCCAGGCTCTTTATTTAACAGGCCATTTGGCATCATCTCTACTTGAATCTCTCTCTAGCATCCTAAACTCAATGCCTAAAAGAGACTTTTGATATAGCCTAAAAGCTGTTTTTCCTTCAGGCTTCCTTAACTCAGTGAATGAACATTCCCTCTGTCTGTCTGCACAGGCAGAAATCCAGGAGTCACTGCTCATTTGTTCTCACTCAACTTCCATATCCAATGAATCACTGAGGTCCACCAATCGTCCTGCAAAATACAACTAGTAGGCATTCCATTTCTCTCCAATTCTCTCAATTTCTTTGGTTGCATTAGGTGTCATATTAATTTTCCAGGAGAAGTTTCTCTATAAGAATTCTAACAGATCTATGTCAAAATGATGAAAATCCAATCCAAGATGATAAAAAGGAAGGGTAAAGTGTCTTTTCTAGTAAGTTACCTAAAGCCTCAGAGACCATATTTTCCAAAGGTCAGTACATCTCACCCTAAAAGGAGGCTAGTTTGATTTAAATAGGGATGATTTATCTCCTGATAACTGCTGGTTGGTCCTCAGCTTCAGAGAATTCCCCAAATGAAATGAATTTCAGAAACATAAAATTATAGGTGAAGTATATAGACATCATCATTCATCTAGTTACATGCTTTTATTCTTCTTTAAGATAATATCATCAGCATTCCTTACCTTCCAACCCATAGTTTATTCTTCTAAACCCTTATTAAACTGTAACGAAACCACTGCTGCTACATAACCTAGGCCCTGTTGCCAGCACAGGAAAGAACGCAGAAAGTAACAAAATCTGAACTTATCCTGCCGCTGAGTAAAAAGACAGCATTAAGTATGATTTGGACAACATATCTTCAGAATGGGAGAAAATATTTTCAAACTAACCTCCTAGATTAGTTTGCATGGATCTGTTGTATCCACCAAAAGCAGAGTAATAAAAAGCAAATCAAAATCGTATTAAGTCACCCTATTAATAAAATTTGTGTTTCTTCTTTCTCTTTTATTGATAATATATCTTACTTGATATTAACACAGAAATTTACTGGAGGCTAGAGAGAAGAATCTAACTCTCATATTCATTGATGTGTTCATTTAGTTATTCAGTACATTTATTTTGAACACCTGCTTTGTACTAGGCACTATTCTGTGTACTATGTGGTGGTTGAAAAAATATACCTTGTCTCTGCCTTCAAGGAGCTTATAGTTTAGTGGGGGAAATGGATGTTTTTAAAATAATTTGCAAGTAAATTAGCATATAATTACAAATCATAGTAAAACTGCTTTTCAAATGATTCACATATAACGGAGATTCCCTTATAAGACTATATTTTTCAAACGCCAGATAGAGATCCACTAATAAGTTATGTAATCAATTTAGGATTGTGGCCAGTATTTTTAAAAATAGAATATAAACTATCAGAGTGCACTAAATATGGTTAAGATAATAACTATTGTTTAGTGTCAGATGTTTATGCAGTTAGGTGGTGATATAAGGTATATTTCTTATTGTGGGCCACAGTCCAAAAAGTTTAAAAACTATTGACCTAAGGTGGGTAGTTTAAAATCTGGGTTTCTGTGGGACACTTCTGGAGAAGTGTTAATATTTTATATTTATATTATAATGTTTTAAACACAGCAAGAGCTATATCAATATTTACATAATGAATGATATAAGGGTTCAAATGCGTAAGTTATTTATGTAATTTAAATAAATTAAATATGCTAATTTCCTTCCACAAATTTCCCTGCCAGAAAGAAGCCCCCCTACTATATAAGCATGATCCTAAATTCATATTACCAAATAAATTACTGGGTTGGATTAACTGTAAGGATTAGGCCCTATTTACTTCATAGGGTGACTATAAAGATGAGGGAGGTTTAATACAGATCCAGGACCTTCTTTTATTATAAAATGCAAGATTCCTATGACCAAACTCTCTCAAAGCCCACCCTCTATTACCATAGCTCTTATTGTATTCATTTAACCAGAAGAGATAATGATGACTAATCTTTTCTCCCTGATTCTCATTTGAGAATTGGACAATGACAGTTTACTGGGATATAGTGAACCAACAACTTAACTCTCTTCCCGTGAGATTCAGCAGCAGTTCTGCACAGTTCCTCAAAAGTTCAAGCATTTATAAGATTTAGACACATAACCATTAAAAAAAATGAAGTGATCCTCAGCAATCAATTGCAATTATATAAGCTCCTACCCAGCACAGCCTACCCAAGGATTGCTTGGTACTGGCCTTTTAAGAGGTTAGGTGAGATAAATTTCATCAGTCTTTGTTTTCTTCTATGTATTCTCCTAAAACTTCAAAAAGGAAGCAGCCTATACAGGGTGAAGGAAGACTTTGTTGCAGAGTTTATTTCTAGAGCATCACTGTCCAACAGAAATATAATGGGAGCCCAAAATGGAACCATATATGTATTAGTAAAAAAAATTTAAACAGTGAAATTTTAATATATTTTATTCCACCCAGTATATTCAAATTATTTCAGCATGCAAGCAACATTAAAAAATATTGGTAAACTATTTTACTTTATTTTTTTCTCATACTAAGTCTACAAAACCCATTGTTCAGACTATTCATATTTCAGTGCTGGTAGCTACTGTATAAGACAGTGAAGTCCTAGAAACTACTCATACTAAAATGCAAAAGTAAATGACCTACATTCTTATAAGTTTGATAAAACTGAAGGCGAGTAAAGAGAGATTTAAACCAATCATGTTTCTGTTACAAAGACTGACATTATCAGTATGGGATTATAATATGATTTGTTTAATTTCTACCAACTATATACTGAACACAAACTCCTACTTTCCATTTTAATAATGGAAAATAATAACTGAAACACTAAATATTCTTTTATTCTTGGTTTCACCTGAATGATAGAAAAAATGTGTTAATCAGGCTAGCATAAAAAAGAAGAAACAACAGAGGAAGAGAGAAGATAAGTAATACAAATACCAGAATATGACACAATAAGAGTGACTTTTACTAAATATCACTGATAAATAATTCTTACTCTCTTAGCTTGAAGACAAAAGTACAATTTTGAAATCAAGATTTTAATTAGTAAGATGTAGAGACATGAGCTTTCAGTTAGAAAAACCAAGATTAGAGTCTTCATGCTGCTTTTGTTTATTTATAATATGGGGATAATTATCAGAATCTATGTATTTGCTTGTTACAACTATTATACTGAAAGCTATGATAAAACACCATTTCAACTCATTATGCCCATAATAAAGAATTTATCATGAACATGGTTGTGGGGTGGATCCAGACCAGCGAGTTGTAACTTTCTGTCCAGAGTCATAGGAAGGAAGGAGAGAAGGAAGGGAGGGGAGACAAGGAGGGAGACAAAAAAGAGAGGGAGAAAGAAAGGGTAATTTGTAATATAGAGGAAAAATAAAACACAGAAAAGAGATGGGTGTGCTGAGGCTATCAGTCCTCTTCTATGTTATGACTAGAATGTGTTTCCAGCATTGGCCTTGTTCTGTCTGCCTTCTGATTTTCAAGGATTACTCACATTTTGTTTCCTAATGCTGTTACAAATATAATCTTATAAAAAAATCCCCTCTAACTCTTTTTTTGTTTTGTGAAATGAGGAAGAACCGTAGTCTGCAAGATTCCTCTTTACCTGATAAACAGTTTATATAAAATGTAATAAATTATAATGTCTTATTTCTATTTAGTAATGTGTAATGTAAATGTTGAACCTTAATACATAAAATAATTAGGGAAGCAAAGTAGCTGCAATTATAAACAATATAATCATAAGATCTAATTGGATTTACTTTTTCAAATATTGAGGCAAATATCTCAAATGCTTATAAAAAGAGTATAAGCTAAACATATAAAGAAAAATTTATTATAAGTGCATTAATAAGTTAATTACATTTGTGGTTCATGACTAAGACTTACCGAGTTCTGCTAAATTACCAAATGCAACAAGACACATTTCAGTAAGAGCTGCATTTTGGCAGTGGATGCCCAGTAATTTCACTAGGGTAGGAATAACACCCATATTGATAAGCTGAGCTTGAAGGGAATCTGTAAAAAGATAAATGAATAAATAAAATGTTCACATGTCAAATGAACATTAGTAAGAAGAAAACACCTCTTATTCTCCCTATTGTAAATTCAATGCTATTTGAATTACAGTAAAGGAAAATGAAGTCCATTCATAGGATTGTCTTAAACATTTTAAACACATTAGTTCAGAAGAGTTGAGTTTTGAATCTTTTCAATGACCAAAAGAAAATTAGAATTGAAAATATGAAAACAAAGAATATATCAAATCACTAGTCTTTTTTTAACAAACATGGTCTTATACCTTTAAAAATCAGGCTTTTAAGAAGTTAAATAATTAAACATTACCATAGGTTTAGGGAGTAAAAAGTTAGACAAAGTAACATTTGCATCATAGGAAATCACAAAATACATGAAAAGAGTAAGGAAAGTAGCAAGTTAATAAAGCCCAAGAAAGAAGACAAAAATCTTAGAATCCTTTAAAAAAGTTACTTCATTATAAAAACTGAATGTATATAATAAATACACAAAAATGATTGGTTCTGAGCATTTGCCAGCAGAGTGCTCTTTGATGACTGCTAGGAAGGAATGTGGTTTTAACAAGGAAATGATGGGTTACCTACAATATTTTTCTTCTTAAAGTTTTATTTAATTATAGTGAAAGATCATCTCAGGAAGAGGAAAATTTGGCTTGAGAGATGAAGAGAATGAGGTAAACATGCCTTGTCATCATTTGCCTTCATTTTCTAAGCAACTAATTCATTTTAAAATATTAAACATGCCTTGGATTTCCACAAGAGTTCTTTATGGGCAATGATAATAGAAAACCTGTCGCAAAGCTGAAAGTAAATGAACCAAAATAAAAATCAAAAGTACTGCCTCTTAGAATACGCTAAGAAGAAAGACATATAAACATTCATATGCTTATGAGATACACTATTACTATCAATAACTGGTTTGTCCAAAGACATAAGAATGCTTTCAATTTTTTTCTCTCTTTAAAATCATATGCCATTTTTAAGCTAATAATTTTCCCCAAATTCTTTGAAGTTACCTATTTGGGATCTAAAGGTAAAACTCTGTTTCTTATAAAACACATGTTCCCTTATAGCTCAAATCCTTGACAAGGTTGGCCAGCTAATGTCTTTTTTTACTCTTCAGCATTCTTTACCTGTAGATAAGAAAGTAGATGGGTAATGATCAAAAAAGAACATAGGCAGGGGTGAGGTGTCTCACATACTCCTGGTGGTCTTTATTGTTAATTCTTTCTGCTTTCAGAGTGAGGTATGAGGAGAAAGTCAATGGAGTCTTATTGTCCCTGAAAACTGATGGCTGGGTCATTACAAATAATTAACTGGTTTGGTTGTGGGGGCCCATCTATACTAGAAAGGGGACTATTAGAAAATGAGAATAGAAAATAAAGCTGAGAAAAAGGGAAGGTAGAGTTCAAATAGTCTAAAACAATTTCAAATTTTGCAATGGAATTACGAAGTCTATTATAAGAGGAGATACAAATAAAAGAATATATTCAACTAAATGCTGTTTTTATACTTTTGGTGTTAAATTTCTTTTTCTGAATACACAATTAAGCTATTGATTTACAACACATATTATCTTATAGGCAAAATACTTATAGGGTAGATAGTGTTATATCTATATGTTATATTGGCAGAATACTTTAATTGTGGTTACAGTATTTATAATAATCATGCACCAAGGAGCTTTCCAAGTTAGAAATCATTTGATTACTTACCAGTAGACAGAGTTCTTTACTAGTGGATCGCCTCTGCAGATTCTGGTTCTTTAGCAGTATATTTATTTATTTATTTATTCATTTTGATTACTTTGTCAAATACTGCAGAGCTGTTGAATCATCAAATTTCAGGTACGTAAGCGTGAGCACTAGCGCATGCATTGAATGAGAGTCAAACTCCACTATATGTCTGCAAATATGTAAGCATCACACACCCCCTCAGTTCTGTTGGTACAAATTATAAAAATCCAACAGTAGGGACATCAGAGGAGTAACAAATTTTATGAAGGAGATAACTCAACAGAAGACTATCCCTTACAAGATAATACTCTTCATGTTCTCTAGCTTGGCATATCTACTGCTTTCTTGGACAGTTTTTAGAACATTATAAATTTTGGTTCCAGGGAGAAGTGGGGCAAAAAAATTAAGTAATGATACAGAGCTTATTATACTTATTGAATATTACACTCACTGAAGTGTAATATTTGAAATTGTGGCTTATCAGGAGAAAAAAGTAGCATAGCCAAATGGCATATAGTGTGAATTGCAATAATTCATGAAAATCATGTTACTTTGTGAAACTGTGTTTTATAACTATCCAGGAGCCAAATTAATTATATACTCACATACAACATACATACCACACACAAAAGAAAAATATCATCCAATTGGACAGACTCATTTTGGACCAATTGGGTGCTTTCTTTTACATCCACTTCTGTGATGCTAACTAAAACAAAAATCATACTCAAATAGCTCTGAAATTTGTTCACATTGACTGCAAGCAAGTCATTCTCCTTGTATGATGAAAGCCCAAAGGGGGAAAAAAAAAACCAAACCTTTACTCAAACTTTTATTTTATGGACAAAGAGGTATACTAGAATATGGTTCTCAAAGTGGTGTCCCTGAAACCCTTTCAGAGGATCATAAAGTCAAAACTATCTTCATAAAGACACCAAGATTTTATTTGTCTTTTTCATCATGTTGATATTTGCACTGATGATACAAAAACAATGGTAAGTAAAACTGCTGGTACTTTAGCATGAACCCAGCCAGTTGCACCAAATTGTACTAGTAGCTGTTACATTCTTATATTCTTCTATATCCATCATATAATCACAGTAAAATAAAATGCCATTTTTTGCAGCAATTATTTTTGGAAATTTTTTCATAAAAATGTCATTTATGTTAACATATAATGGGTTTTATTTTAAAATATAATATTAAATAACCTTAAGACTTTTCTCCATTTTAATTTCTAATTCAGTATGTATTGATAAAACCCATATACATAAAAAAAGTTCTTTGAGGTCTTCAATAACTTTTAGGCATGTAAAAGGGTCCTGTGACCAGAAGTTTCTTTCAGAACTACTGCCAAAGGATTACCTAATTCTTCTTAAAGATGGAGGGGAGGAGAAAACATGGAAAACATTAAGTTCAACGATGTGCTTAGCAGAAGTGATTAACAGGAAAAAAAGAAATAAAAATTAAGAACATGGTAGGAATCAGATTTTGGTTCTCAAATATTTTGAGAGAAATTACATTAATAAAGCACCTGAACATTTCATTTTGCTTATCTGAGTAGGAACTCAAGCCTGGAAGAATATTCCAGATTGAGTCTGTTAACCTATTTCAGTTACAATTTAGTATGTTACCATTCAGTAGCTGGTGGTGGTGGTGGTGGTGGTTTTGGATTTAGTAGGGTTCCTGTTTGTGTAGAATAAATTGATTCTTATCAATGGAAATAAATGATTTATTTGATCATCTTTTTAAAAATTTACTGCCCAAAGAAAGCTTGTGAATGTCCTTTAAAGGAAAATAGCTGACACTCATGGTATCATGAATATCAGGAGTGTGACTTTTAAATGAAAGACAGCAGGAAGATATTCTTGGAACTAGAAATAGTTCTTGTTCTCCAAACACAGTAGAGAGGGTAAGTAAAACAACTGCAAGACTAAGACTTTAGCGTCCCTCAATAAATGCCACCAACTCCAGGGGAATGTTACCAGAGCTCAACAAACACAGCAATTCACAAAAATGCAACCCAGGCCCATACATAGCGAACACTTATGTGTGAAAGACAGTCTTTAGACAGCACAATGTCATAAATGTCTGCAGATTCTCTTTTTTAACTGATCCTGACACACATCACAGACAAATACTGACCAAAATACAGATTTACAAAATTACATAGTATCAAAATGACACAGGCCCTACATGATCTATGGGAGGAAGAGGAAGAAAGGCACTGAGGGGGTGCAATACAGATGCATATACAAAGAGATATAAGGCAATCAACGCATGCGCTGGTGTGAACACTTACCTACCTACATTTGAATTTCAACGGTTCCAAGTTCTTCAGGTCACACTCATGGAAACTCCAAAGAATGGAGATCTGGAGAGAAGATCTCAAGTTGAGGAACCTTTTCCCCCCTGAGTTTTAAGTTTAATGTTTAAAACATTGGTATAGACTAGATTATAGGTCCAGAAAAGTATGCTGAGAATTCCAGTAACTCAACTGATGTTGATCAATTACTAAAAATATATTTGTTAAGGTTATAACACGTTTATCTTATAACTAAAACCATTATAGACAATGTTATAAGATTACTAAGCTTATCAATAAGTAGAACTTAATGATGAAACTGTCAAAAGACACAATGCAAAATAGTCTCTATATTAGTATAGGATATGAATATTATTCATAGTATAATGATGCAATATTGCTATTTACAGGCTTACATTAAAAACCATATCTACAGTCAAATGAGTGGTACATAGTTGAAACAGTATAAACAAGCAAATAAAACTGACAAAAAGTTCTAATTACAAATTGGCCAAAAACCACTTGAGGATAATAAAGACTGAAGAAAACTACCTTTGACTCAATGGCAAATCTGCATTTCAAAAAAAGAATATGAAAACTAATAATTAGAAATGATGTAACAGTATAGTAGAGCTTCAAGTTTAAATTAAGCAAGGTTTGGCTCTATTATAACACTGGAAAGGAAACTTCTTAAATAGAGCTATCAAAAGGATGAATATTGGTTAAAAACTTTATATATCCAACTGTAGAGGTACATGTCAGGACTTCCTTTTCAGTTCCTTATTATTTAGTATCTTTTGCTGATTGATCAGGAAAACGGAGAACTTTTATTCTAAACCCAGTGTTTAGGATATAATATTTACATGCATTTAAAGTTAAATTCAAATCCATTATTTTTAAAGCCTTCTTTACACAAAACATACATATTATGTTTCACACCCA